GTCATTGCTTTCCGGGCAAAGATTACTTCATTGTCAAGCCACAAGCAAGGCTGCGGCTGAGAGCCTCTGCCGACCACGAGAGCGACAACTCGGATGATGCCCGGTCTCAGGATTCATACGGTGATGAAGTGGAATCCAGGGCCGTCAAAGGCCCTGAGCCCGACATAGTGATTCCGGATTGGGTGGTGTCGAGAGTAGTCAATGCCCTCCATGAGGAACCCCTCGCCATTGTGGAAGCAAAGGTAACGGATGACGAAGGCCTGTGGCAGCGGACGAAAGCTCAATTTCAGCTCCAAATGGGGCGCTTGGCCAGCAAGACCCAACGGCGCCCCATCTTTGGCGCCATTGTCAGTGGGACGACGGCATACTGCTATATCATGACCGGTTCCATGACTCGTCACAACACCGAGCGACTCTCAAGCTCAGGCTTACACGGAGCTGCCCTTGCCTCGGACGAGTGGCGCAGGTGGCTCGATCGCGTGCGTGGCAAGGGTTTGGGGATTGATACGGAGTGGGAGTAGAGTTCAGGAGGAAGATGTGGGTGGTCTATGAATAAACATTTGTACAGAGAATATGGAGAATGCCTAGATGAATAACAGCCAAGCGCTCATTGATGTTCCTAGATGATTGAATGGCAGCACCTACTACTACACCACTGGCAGTCATATATTGTACTGAACAGAGGAGGCAGGAGACCTCTGCGGTCTCCATCAGTCCGAAAAGAACGAGGGCCCCGACTCGGTTGCTTAGAATACCCCACTGGGCAGCGCGTGCATACGGCAAGCTGGAAAGCTGGAAGGCGGCACTTGAAAAGGCTAGCCTTGGAGACTGGACGTGAAGCCAGGGAAGAACGAAGTGGCCATATAGACTCGAGATACCGTGCCTCTCTGCGAGCGCTCGCAGCGAATCCTGGACTTACTGACATGTACACGCCCGTGAATACCTGGTGACATAGACGCTGATAAGTATGTAGTCCATCCGTAACACGCAGATGCAAAGTTGCAAACTCTTGCACATTTGGAGTGGACGTGTAAAGCTGCGTGGCGCCTGGTTTGTGCAGCTATGCGCAATGCTGTCATCCGATATACTGCAACAAGTGAGTATGAACTGCAGTAGAGTGGGACACACGGATATCGCACTTCCGAATGACGTACCGTTCTCTCGACTCCAAGACCTGCTCGTAAACTTCTCATGCGAGTTCAATTTTGAAGGAAAAACTCACGACCAGAGCAAAGAGTCGATGGTGCAAGGCCTAGGGGGGGGGGGGGTCAGGCGTGCGCCCTGCAGCTGGTCAGTTCGAACATCTTGTGCGCGTTCGTCGTATGCCGCCACATAATACACCATACCTTGCATATACAGGGCTCAAGCGCTCAAGACTTGCCTCGGTTAATACCCCACGGATCCGAGTGGGAATGGCGTCGAACTTGCCTTTCGGCACCTACGAAAGCAAGTATGTATCACTTGACACTCTGAGAGAGCACCCCAGATTGCGAGCGTCTTAGGCCGGCGAGAACCGGCCCGACAAGCGTACAGGCCATCCAACTCGATATAACAAAGTCATCACTTCATCTCGAGCTCTAGCTCGTCAGGACCAAGTACATCAATCTCATGTATACATCAATATCTATGCTACATCTCGAACCGTCAGTACAGCACCGCCAGCAGCGTCCGCGCGCTCACACCCGCGCCGTATTATTCCTTCGTAACAGCCTCCTCCCCTTCCTCTTCTCCGCCTCCCGATCCTGCCCCTGCTGCTCTCCATTCACAGGCGCCTTATCCTTCTCCTTTTCCTTTTCAGCGACACCACCCGGCGCGCGCGCCTCCGTCCTCTCCCTCCCTCCCCAATTCACGGTAAACAACCGCTGGTAGAACGGCTTCCTCGCATGGCCAGCGTCTGCCTGAGCCGTCGGTGGCGGAGCTGGAGCCGCGCGCGAACGACTCGCATTCGTGGACGACGCGCTCCTCTGAAAAAACCGCCTCCTCGACGTCGGCGACGGGGCGCTGCTCGTCGTGGTCGTCTTATCATCATACGGAACATGCTATCTCACCCACACCCACATTTCCATGTCCACACATCAGCATTTCTACCTCGACGCCAGCAAAGGAAAAACGCGGAACGACTCACGATGACCCTTACCCGCTGCCTCGGACTCGCGAGGACGTAATACGTGCTCGCGGAGCTCGCACTGCTCGCTCGACTCCGCATACTGGGTGTATCGACGAGGCTCCACGGCTCGCTCGGGCTGCGCTGCCCTTGTCCCTGTGCGCTTCCGGATGCCGATGGAGGGCTTGGGATTGGGTGGGCAGCGGTGCCTGGGCGCGCGTGGGAGGTGTGGACGTGCCCGGGTGGCGGGTGGTGATGTCCAGGCGGCACGACGGCTGCTTGACGCTCAGGCGAGATAACCGCAGCATGCGCAGGCGGGTACGCCCTCGACAACGACTGCGACCTCGGCCGCGCGCCAAAGTCGCGCACGACGACGCCGCGGGGTCCTGGCGCGGAGGAGCGCGGGACGGTGTGGTAGGGCGCCGCACGCGGTTGGGTGGGGGCGGGAGGGTTTGCTTCGCGTTGAGAGCTGGCGTGGGCGTGGGCGTGGGCGGAAGCGTGGGTGTGAGCGTATACAACGTCCTCCTGCTCGGCCGCGCGCGGGTGCGCCTCCCTCTGCCGATACCCCTTCGACCCCCTCTCCCCCTCCTCGCCCACCCCCACCTCCCTCTGCCCAGACCCACGACGAGAGCCGTTATACTCCGCGGCGGGTATAATCTTGGGCGGGGCGTAGCGCGGGACGTGCGTCGGGGCGGGGGCGTAGACGATCGCGGGGCGGTGCGCGCCGGGGGTGTGGGCGTGGTCGGCGTGCGCGGAGGGGAGGGACGGCACGCGGTGGTGTGGTTCGGTTGTTGATTCGTGCGTGACCCGCGAGTGGAGCGATCGGTCGGCGGCTCCGTGCTGCGAGGATCGTTGGGCCGATCGCTGCGATGTGCGCGAGTGCGCGACGACGACGGGCGGGTTCCGCTCTGGCGTAGATCCAAATACGAATCGGATGGATCAGTAACGCGTATCCCCGGCAGCCCCATACTACGCACCTGAGCGGTGCGACGAGCGCCCGGCCTCGGAGCCCCCACTGCCGTTCGACTGGCGCGAATGGCGCGAGCCCGCGTCTGCATCAATCGGCGCGCCCTTTGAATGCTGGCTGGCGACGGCGCTGGGGAGGTGGATGGCTGATTGCTGGGACCTGGTCAGCGGTGGCGGGTTAGGCTGGGAGGAGTCGCTGCGGGCGGAGGGGTTGTGAGAGAGTGCGATTTGAGAGTGGTTGGAGGGTGGCATGTGGGAGTGGCGGGAAGGCGCGGCTTGCGAGTGGTTGGACGGCGAATGCTGGGACGGTGCACGCTGCGAGTGCTGGGATGGCGCGATCTGAGAATGGCGAGATGGCTGGAATTGCTCCACCTGTGCCGACGGGGCTCGCGACGAGCGCGAGGAGTGTCTCGAGTGCTGCGAGCCGTCACGCATAGATCTAGCAGCGCCCTCGTTTGGTAGAGTAGCCCCCGCCTCGCCCTCGGGATGCGACCAGAACGGCGGGTTCGACGGCGATCGCGAATGCCGCGAGATATCGCGCGTAGACGAGTGCTCGGACGGCGGGATATGGCCGCGCGTGATGGGCGCGTCGAGGATGTCGCAGTGGAAGGTAGACGAGCGCGAGGAGGAGCGGGACGCGGGCTCAGCGCGAGACCGCACGCTGCGCTCACTGGGCGCCTGGCTATGGCGCGAGCGCCCCGACGTGTACTCGAGCGACCCCGAGCGGCCATCTCGCACCGTCCGCTCGGACGCGACTCTCGACGGATGGTGGGACATGGCTGCGGGCGTCGGATGATGAGATACGGGTGCCAGCGTCTCGCTGTACTTTTCGATGGGCACGTCTGGTCGGCCGTCCTTGAACCTGAGGTACATGCGCGGGGGCAGCGACTTGCGCGAGCCGGCGTCGACGTCGTCGTCGTCGTCGAAGAAGCCGGAGAGCGCGGCGACAGTCGGCGTGCGCGAGGGCGGGGCGTGGGGGTCGGAGAAGGCGGAGTGGGGCGGGGAATGGGCGAGGACCCAGTGGCCGGTGCGGGCCAGGGACGCATGGACGGCCTCGATCTCGGATGGAGTCGTGGCGTACTCTGTCATGGCTAGAGGGAAACCTTCCCCGCCCAAGCAGACTTCAATCTTAAGTCTCTGCTAATGGGAACACAATTCTGCTATTCCCGTCCCCCAGTCATGCTCGCTGTTTGGGAGAACCAGTTGGGTCATCGAGCGCGACGGAAGACGAACGGCCACAACGTGTTCTCCTCGAGGCATCTTCAGCCACCGCTTCCTATTCGGCCTCGGCCCCCACCTGCAGCCACACTACCCTCTGTTTCGACGAATCTTTATCACTAGTGTACCCCACACCCTGCAGTCGACGAAGCTCGCATTGTTCGACATGTTCCGTACGTCTATCTCACGCACCACGCCGTGGACACGCCGATATCTCCTGCTCGATGATGTCTTTCAACGTATAAGTACGCTATCTCATACCCAAACCAGCCGCGAGATCAGATCCGTGCTACCAACATGGTGAACCGGCACTTGTAGCCCTTACGCCTGTCGACCTACTGACGGCACCGGGGTATCAGCTGGTAATGCGGGGTATCCGGGCTTATCGAAATACTGCCTGAAGCGTCTCTCTACTCGTGTCACTTATTAACGTAAGCCTCCAAAGTAATGATCCCACTAGAATAGGGTGATTGAACCAAGACATTCACAGCTCACTCGCCTGGCATATCAACTCAACGAATGACGTCCCCCACGCCCATCCGCCGACGTGGTAGGTATACTACCACTTACCATTATCAGCAGTTTTCCCCGTCAATGGCACCATAACAACCTTATGTCTTACGAGCCCGGGATCCAGTGAGTCCTCTCACTCAAATTCGGATTGACGCGTCCTTCTTCACCGCATCCACCGCAGCGCGATGTACCTCCTAAATAAATATCGAAATCACTGCGCCCTCGCCAACCCTCGAGCTCGCGTCTCATCATGATCAGCACATCCGCGGAATGATCCGTATCTAGGCATGTATCTATGAACACTGCGGCGAATCTATATCAACGACGACGGTCAGCAAGATCCTCGTGCGCGTACGTCCGATCCCTTGTTGTAAAGGCGTCAATCCCGCGTTATCCTCGGTGCGTCCGGAGAATCCGAATCCACCGTACTCATACGCATAACCGTCGCCCATCCAATGACGGCGGCTCATATACATATCACCATCAACTACATCCGGTAGGACCCGCGATGTCTAGGCGATATACCTATACCTCGACTCAAGAAGGGAGAGAGCAGGAGTCGCGCCTGGTCCAACGCTGACCGCCAGATCCACACCCGCTTCACCAGCAGGCTACATATCCCTATCCGCACCTGGCGATCACTGACGCCCCATCTCGAGCCACGCCGCATGCCTCGCCTCCCTCATCCCCGCGGCTGGTTACGACCCACGCGTATGAAGACTTCCTCTCCCAACGACGACGGCACTCGGACGTCTGATCATAAAAGTATCGCGAAGTTCTTGAGATCATCCTGGCCGACGTCTAGCTCTCCTTTGACATAATTCAGGAGATCCACTGCCCTCGATGTCCCGAGTGGCTTATGAATATCAGGAGATTTCACCGATGCAAGCAATACGACTCCCTGGCTCCATTGATGACAGTTGCTTGTCTAGTAAGTCGTTTTTAGGAGGCGCAGGATCAAGCCTATCCCTGGCTGGCAAATGGCACGATGTGATCTACCGCGTCGATCTCAAATACATTTATCTCGACTTTGTGGTATACAGCCAGCACAGTAGACGCCTATCTTGCTCAACCTGCCGATGACCCCAAAACCCTCTTCTCTGGATGTCAACTCACTTTTGCAGGGCTTCACGCGGGCACGCAGAACCGATAACCACAGCCGTCGTCGCGGCGCTCATCCCTGCCTGCCGCCGACTGGTCATCTTGTGTCTCACTTCGAAACCGCCCTCTCCTTTCTATCCCACTACGACACCATACACACACTCGTCCTGCGATCCCCGCTCGTCGTCCAAATCTCCGGCGACGAATATTCAGGCTTCGCGTGCGTACCCGCCGCGCCTACTGCCGCTCACCCTACCTTCCCCTCCGTCCGGTCCTTGGAGTTCCTCTGCCGACATTACCGAGACGATCTCCCGTTCTTTCCCAATGTTACTGTCCTCCGTCTCCACGCGGCTGTGCCCCTACGCTCTGCGGGTGCCTTCCGCGCCCCCTTGAAACCCTGGTGCTGAAGACGCATGTTGCGCAAACTGTCTGCGCCTCGAATCGAAAGACAAAGACGCGCGATGTGCACGTCCGCCACTCGGTTGCGCCTTGGGAACTGCGCGACGCGCTGCAGAACGGGCTGCGACGGTCAGCTGCAGGTCGATTGGAGGGCAGCGCGCGTGGTCACCTGCAAGAAGGAGGACGTACAAGGCTGGGACGAGATGGCTGAGGGCTGTAAGGAGTATGACATCGCCCTTGAGTGGCTCTCGTGAAAACGACCCGAGATATATTTCAGGATTTACTGGGCTTTGGCGCGGGCCTGCCATCAGGTACAGGCGATGCTTGATCTTGGGATTTGCGGGATACATACTACCAAGTCTGCAAAGTACCTTCGTTCGAGGACACTGAGTCGGAGTCTATCTCGCGCCCACAGTGTTCTGTCAGCTGCAAGAGTCGGTGACTCTTGAAGCCTGTCTGCGGATGCAGACGAAGGTCGGAAAGCCCATCCCGCTTGTCGGCCAGCAGTGTTCATCGTCAACCAGTATCGCCAAAGACCATCAACGGTGCACCACCAAACGCGAAGGCATCCATCCATCCACTCGCACCTCATCTTGATCAATGGCAATCTTTCACTTTATTAGACTTCTCTGCCATCCAAGATAATGATATAGGTAGGTAGTGCCACATAAATGAAAGGGCAGGTAAAACGAAAGTATCTAGAAGGACTAGGAGTGTCTTAGACTAAGTAAGTAGGGTAGAAGTACAAGACGCCAAGAGTCCGCGAGCAGCCTGAGCCGCTTGCCATTGTTCCAAAGTCCGGCGGGAAGATTAAAGAGACGAGGGTGTTGCGCCGGGTATCAGTACTAGCAGCCGTCGTACTATCCAGAGACGTCAGTCAGGTGTCCACCCTCGAGTTGGTAACGCTGCGTACTAGAGAATTCTTGGGCCACGAGTAGCCCGCGCCCGAACCGTCCGGCATACTCCTCCACGACGTCAAATTAGGGTCTAGCGAGCATGAGTGAAAATGTAATCGCCGAGCGGAGGAATCCACGCACTCGTATACGCTTCCATATGACTATTAATATAGTCTTCTGTGGGATAGTCCTTTGGGCTGCACCCAATGTCCGTCTCGCCCTCACGCTGGTACACGCGCACGTAGTCGACGAGCATCTCGGCTGGGAAGACCATCGTGTTCAGATCAATCGTCTGCCAGTTCGCTACGAACAACGCATTCAAATCAATATTGCACCCTCGCTGATCTTATCAGATACTCACCGGAGATACCCAAGTTCAAGACGATCGACTAAGGGTGCCATCGATCCCCGATCAGCTGCGATGAAGAGTTGCATGCAACGAAAACACGACGTACCATCGGCTCCTCGGGAACCAGTCGCTGCCCAACTTGGCTTCCGCCGTCGCCCGTATCAGGCCCCATCGCGCCCGCGCCCATCCGCACCGACGGCTTGCCCGCCGTCTGCCAGGTGATGAATCCGTCTCCAGGGTTCTTCGGGTCTGTCCAGTACTCGAAGCCTACACGTATATAGATAGATAAATGATGAAGCAGCAAGTGAGACGAAACGGCGTACCGAGGGTGGTGAATACCTGCCCCGAGCCCTGGAACATGTTATCGGGGAGCTTCGTCAATGCAGAGACCGCCTGCTGTCTGTACTCGCGGCGTTCAGCATCCCACCCAAAGCACTCGACGAAGGTACTTACACCGCCGAACCACTGCAACCCACAAACAAAACATCATCAACACACCGCTCTATCCATTCCACCAAAAAGAAAACGGAGTCCACGCACTGATAACTATTCGGTCTCGTAAGAGTCTCATCGTATATCTTCCACTTATCCTCGGTATCGTTCGCGTACAGATAGTCATGCGTGAACGGCGCAAACTGCGCGGATTGCGAGACGACCTGGCCGACGTTCGTCTCCTTGTCCTTCTCCGCCTCGAGGATGTCAATCTCGGGCGCCCCGCGGCCCTTGGAGGGCGATGGGCCGGGGTGCTCCTCGCCGGAGCAGGTGCAGGCGCTACGAGTGTGCGTTAGCGACAGTGACAGGCTAGACGAGTGGCGCGTGGAGGGAGAGATTGCGGCGGTGGGAGTTGTGGTGGAGGTGTGAGACGGGCGGCGGAGAGCAGAGCAGGAACGGAGGAGAGAGCAGCGAAAAGACACGCACGATAACCGCTGTCCAGGCAACCACGAGAGCTCATAGTTGTACTTTGATCTGCTCTGATCAGAGTGCAGCGCCGCCGCCGGGCCCGTGCCGTCCTTGGTGGTCTGGTTGCGGAACGTGCCAACGTCGCACGAGTCGTAGCTGCAGGTGCCCAGACTCTTAGTTAGCGCAAAGCCGGATACGAAACGAAGACGCACGAGTACGGCCAAGTGCCGTCCGTCGTCGCCCGATAGCCCGGACGGCCCAGGTTCCCCATCGTCCACGCGCCAGGCCACTATACGACCCAGGCACGTCAGTAGCACAACGGCATGGTACAGATGAAGCTACACTCACATAACCCTGCGTATTCGAGTCCGGCCCGGGCAGCGTCAGACTAATCTCAATGTACCCCCTCGAAAAGCAAAACTTGTTCCAGCTCTGCAGCATCCCGCTGCGATACGGCAAGCCATGCGTCTCCACCTGCTCCATCACGATCCGCAGGTGACCATCTTCCGTCGTCGTGACCTGGCGCGGGTCGTACCACTCCTGGTCCTGCGTGGAGCCGTACCAGATGTCGGCGGCCTCCCAGAAGGGGTCGTCGCCAGGGTAGAAGGTGCGCCCGGGCGTGTTGAACTCGTCCGAGAAGACGAGCTCGTAGGCGTGCCCGTCGAAGCCGGTGCGTGAGCGCGCGTCGGAAGGCGTCTCGGGATCGATTAGTTGCGGCATTTGGAAGCTGGGGGTGGGTTAGCATTGGAAAGAGGCGGCTGAGAGGGTGAGGAGGAGGAATATGGGAATGGATGGCGATCGCCTCGTCGTTCCGCCAGCTGATGTTCACCTGAACTGTTAGAACAGCTCGGTGTCCCAGCGGCTGCCGCACAACGAATCGCGACAGACATCGGTCCCCATACGTACCACAGAGAAAATCGGATAGACAGAAAGTCGCCAGGAAAGGGATTACAATGAACAGGTGCCACAGAATTCTCCTCAAGAAGATGGGTAAAACGGAGTTGAATGAGAAGTACGGCAAGGACAGACGAAGGAGCGGGCAGAGACAGAGGTAACCGCGAAATGAAGATGAAATGAATGGAAATTGATAAAGTTGAAAACATAATATATAATTGAAGACCACTCACAGAACTGGCACCTGCCCCGTCCCGTTCACCTGCGTGTTATCGCTGATCGCGATGACCGTGTCCAAGTCGCGAAAGTGCTCGAACGCGGGGTAGAACACGAAGAGCATAAGCAGTGCGAGGATCAGAATGACGAGCAAACCGACGTTGGCAACTCCCCGCCAATTCCACCACCCGCCTGCGCGCTTGCCGTCCACATCGTCCCAGTCCGCGTCCATGTCCTCCTTGTCGTCGACGGTGGGGTCGTACGCGTACGGGATGAGCCCGCGCGGGTGGGTGAGCGAGCCGGAGGGGTACTTGGAGTCGGACGAGATGGAGAAGACGGAGTCGCCGGAGCTGGAGATGACCGAGTCGCGGTTGCTGCCGCCGGCGAGGGCGCGTGGCGGGGGGAGCAGCTCGCCGTTGTCGTCGTCGCTCGCGAGGCGGTAGAGCAGCATGGACCCGCGCTGGCCGGTGAGGACCTGCGAGTCCTCGCTCGCGATGCGGGTGAAGAGCATGCTGCCCGCGCGCGAGACGGGGCGGGAGCGCGGCTGGGGCGGGGGCGGAGGGGAGGCGGGGTGGTTCGGGTTGAGCGGGACGAGACGAACGCGCCGGAGGAGAGCGAGCGCTGCGGGGGGCGGTCGGCGGCGGGGAGGAGCGGCTGCTCGACGGACGGCGAGGGCGGCGGCGGCGGGTACGCGGCGCTGGCGC